ATGGCTTAGGCGACCACCTTAGGGTGCCAGGATAGGGAGAGGGGGGTGGGGGGTGGTAAATCCCAAGTGGCAAGTGGCTGTGGATTTGGATTTTTAACATTTCTGCAGGCATGTGTTTTTTTTTATACACTACCAGCCACTATACCAGCTGGGAGTGTTTGTACTTTAGTAATCCGACTATCAGCTTTCATGTGGACATGATACAAGCGGCTGTGAAGCCACCTATCACTTCCACAACCACCACCGCTATGTGCCGCCCCCGGCATGATTCCCCCACCTTGTTTACAGGGCTCTACTCTCCCACCTACAGGCCTATAATGGAGGGTGTCTCTGGGAAGGGTGGGATCTCCAACCACTCAGCCTCCCTCCTGTACATATGACCAGGAAGTGACGAGTATGACACCACTTCCTGTACCAGAGCTGTGATGGCAGCAAAATGTACCTTCACCTGTGTAGACAAAAATCCTTGCACCGATTATGGCTACTGCAAAATATATGCTGACATGTTGGTGCCAGAAAAAAGTATTTACATTCTGATTTATTGCAAACAGTATGCAGCCTGTGTATCAGCAGGGGAAAGGCAAAGCTTTAAACTTTGTTTATTTTAGCATTCTACTATACAGAGTTTTGACAAATTTGTCCCATTTCTTATTTGCATTGCTTCCTTGTGAAAACTGAATTTCCAAACCAGTTACTATGCCCAATAATTTAGACTTCTATATGCATACTTACCAGCATGATGTCATTAATCGGTAGTTTCATCCACTTGAATTATTGCACTGACTTTGTGTAGGTTATGCACATACTGTACTATAAATGGTGATGCAGTGTTTACAGGGACTCAGGCAGTCAGTTATCTGAACTGGGGTTTTTTGGGCCTATACACCTACCACAGTGCTTTACAGAGTTATGTCTGTCTGTTGCATTTCTAATTAATTTAATATCATTGAGAATACAATAAGATAATTCAAAACTCCATTGAAACTTGAAATTGTGGAATTTAAATCCCATTGCTGGAGCCCACACAGACAATAGAACTATTGATTATTCAAACTATTAGACTTCAATTAAAACTCAATTAACTTCTGGGTAGACTGAGACTTTAAATTAAGCAATTGTTGGTAAAAGATGTTGTTGATAATAGTGTAAACTGAAAAAAAAATGCTAATAAGGTAAACCTGTTAGATATGATGCAATCAACTAATTACTATTGATGAGCAAACCAATTTGCAGTAATGTAGATCCACCTTCCACGTAGTTTTCACTGATAAAAACTGATATCAGCACACTCAGTTGCATAATTATTACCTTTTTTTGAACAATGTTGCAAAGTGACGGTTTTGTCAACACTTCTATCAAAACTGGATGCAAGGAGAAGCTAGTTTTATTTAGTGAAATTTAAAAAACTGAAAAAAACCAGGTGCAAAAATATGGTTGTTGTCTAGATCAACCAGTCAATTTTCAACTTTTAATAGTGTCTATGGAAACATTAAAAAAGGGTCAAATTGGTCACTTTGGTTAGCAACCCTGCTTATGTTCTAATCGTGTTTCTAAATGTTTAGGTCTCTTAGGAAAACAAAACATATTCAATGCTTGTAAAATACATCTATATAGCTGTTTATTGATATTCTAGGACATAATTAATTTGTTCTTTACCTTGGTAGCCCAAGCAGCTCTTCTGGAACAGTGACTGCACCAGGCGATGCCGCTGCTTTGGCAGGAATCTCATCCAGTGTGATCCCAGGCACTGCAAGTCAGATGAAGAATGTGCGCTAAGGAATGGAGTGAGAGGCTGCTTCAGCAAGAAGAGCTCCTATTGCATAGCAGCAGGAGGAGGTGTTTTCAGGACATTTGATGGGGCATTTCTTCGCTTTCCAGCAAACTGTGCATTTGTATTATCAACAATTTGTCAAAAGCTACCTGATATCTCATTCCAGCTAATCATAAACTTCGACAAATGGTCTTCTCCAAATTTGACTGTTATATCACCTGTATACTTCTACATTAATGAAGAGCAAATTCTCATCAATGACCGTAACACTGTAAAGGTAATAGGCTCAAAACATTCTCTGAACATGAATGTTTATGTTACTAGTAACTTTTTTTGGCAAGTAATAGTTATTTTGTTATTAACTACAAATATGTGTGTTTACATGGGAGGCTGAAAAAGGACATGACTCAATCAAGTTCAACTAACAGGGGAAAAAAAATACATATATATATATATATATATATATATATATTTATATATATATATATATATATATATATATAACCTCCATACAAAGAACCATATAAAAACAGTTGATCAAGAGTAAAGCAAAAAAAAAACACTTATAAAGCAAGAATTCAATATACTGTACACCTACTTCTGACGGTGGTCTTTTCACAGTTGCAAATGGGACGGTTGTGTACACTAAGTACTCTAATTCAGCCAAACCAAGCAGCTTCAATGTGGTCCAAGTACTGGCCCTAAAGCAGCATTGAGATGATCACTGGGCTTGAAGGTTCATGAAGCTAAAGACACCAACTTCCAGGTAGAAATCTTCAGCAATCTCAGCTTTCTCAGCAGGGATGTAAAGCCACAGTCATGTGGTAGCCAAATTTTGTCTTGCTCCTTTTTTTCCTGTACATATACCCCCTAAAACCAAATTATCTCATTCATGTTTATGACCACCTTCCTCCTAGTCTAAGCAATCAAACCTAGACAAGGTGCAGGCCAACAAATCCAAAACACTTTAAGGAACAACTATGAATAGCTACACTGAAAAATACAGCCATTTTATTAGGTATACCTCGCTAGTACAGGTTTGGGCCCCCTTTTGCCTTCGGAACTGCCTTACGTTTTTGTGGCATAGATTCAACAAAGTGTTGGAAACATTCCTCAGAGATTTTGGTCCATATTGACATGAGTTACTGTTGCCTTTCTATCATCTAAACCCAGTCTGCTCATTCTCCTCTGACCTATGACATCAACAAGGCATTTTTCTCCACACAACTGCCACTCACTGGACATTTTCTGTTTTTCGGACCATTCTCTGTAAACCCTAGAGATGGTTATGTGTGAAAATCCCAGTAGATCAGACGTTTTTTAAATACTCAGACCAGTCTGTCTGGTACCAACAACCATGGCACATTCAAAGTCACCTAATTTCCCTTTCTTCCCCATTCTGCCTGGTTTGAACTTTAGCAAGTCATCTTCACCACGTCTCGATGCCTAAATGCATTCGTTTGCTGCCATGTGATTGTCTTATAGGCAATTTGTGTTACCAAGCAATTAAACAGGTGTACCTAATATATTGCCAGAGAGTGTATATGGATTAAAGGTGCTTTGTGCCTCTAGTCTTCCCTACTCCACATATTTTTACTTCAACTTTAAAGTGCATGTGATCATTACTAAAAACATTCCTTTACAAATAATGTCGCAGTAGTGGCATCATGATCATATCATGGCACGTATGTCACAAATTTATGTGGGTATTGTACAATAGAGGGCTTCCAGTACTCTTGCAAGGGAACCCTGGAGCTTTGAAATACCCAATAAAATCTATAACTCCTTTGAAAACCTGGGATCAGAATGCATTCATCTTGTTTTGGGTTACATTTGCAACATCTGCTGTTCCATACATTCTTGCATTTATGTTAAATTCTTTCTATTCCATTGTCATCTATAACAAGTTAAACAAACATATGTATTTTAATAATTTGGGGTTTTATTTGTTTTTATCATAGGTAAATGGAACACAAGTGACAGTTCCATTTGTAACTGGACTGTCCACAAAAATATATAGTATGGAGGGATTTTTGGTCATTGACACAAGCCCTGACATTCAGATTCATTACAATGGCTTCAACATTATTAAAATTACCATCAGTGAGCGACTTCAAAATAAAGTTTGTGGTCTTTGTGGAAACTTTAATGGAGATCTAACTGATGATTACGTTACTCTACGAGGGCATCCATCTTGGATTTATGCTGAGCATGGTGGGAAGCTTTTATGCCTTCAGGTCTCTGAGGTCCATCCCCCAGAGGGGTGTGGCTGAGTACATATAAGCCTGTGATCCGCACATGCTCTTTGCACTTGTGTCTTGTGTCTTTGTCTTGCTACAGCTCTGTGTATATGCTCGTGACTCTTCTGGTATTTGACTCGGCTTGTGACTAGACCATTCTCTGTGTTTTCCTTCGATCTGACCTTCCGTTGCTGAACCCGGCCCGTGACCTGTGATTCTCTGTCTACTGTTCTGTACTGTTTTGTCCCGTTGTTGTTGACCCAGCTTGCCTGACTACGCTATTGTCATTCTCACCAGCTACACGCCATTGGCGGCGGCCATTACCGCAGCCGGGGTGTCTCGGGGGCCGCGACCTGGTTCCTGGCTGCGTCAAGTCCATCCCCACCATCAGGGGCCCTGGTGAAGGGCAGCCTGGGACTTAGACTCCGCGCCCTGAGGGACTTCGGTCTGTTGGTGGTGGTTGTCGTCAGCCAGTGCGTTACCCTGCCACTAGGCCTACCTGTCCGTTCCACAGCCCTGCCCTGACATTACACAAGTGCCATGAATCCTGACGGTGCAGGTACGTTCACTTCCAATGTTGGTCGCCAGACTGGATCAACAGGATCTCCTGTTGGATCAGTTCGCTCAGGCGTTGCAAACTCTGCTGTTGGCACGCACCGCGCACCTTACTCCTGTGTGTTATTAGGCCGGTTGTCACTCCGGTGGTCGCTCCCGCTGCTGTTCCGCTGGTTGCGCCTACCGCCGCGGCTGCTGCGGTACCCGCGGCGCCCAGAGGTATGACTGGTTCAGCCCCTCTTCCACAGCGCTTTGGGGGTGAGCCAAGTCAGTGTCGTGGTTTCCTCAACCAGGTGGGGATTTACTTCGAATTAATACCCCACGCTTTTCCGACTGAGAGGTCAAAGGTGGGTTTCCTAATATCGCTACTCTCAGACAAGGCCTTGGCCTGGGCGAATCCCTTATGGGAGAGGAATGACCCAGTGATTCACGAGTTTTCCGGTTTTGTCGATGCCTTCCGTAGGGTATTCGACGTACCGGCTCGCTCCGCCTCGGCTGCCAAGCTGCTCATGTCATGTCTATGCATCAGGGTTCACGGACCGTTGCCGAGTACGCCATAGAGTTTCGTACCCTGGCAGCAGAGGTGGGTTGGAACAATGAGGCTCTGGTGGCTGCGTTTTCTCAGGGTCTTTCTGATGCATTGAAGGACGAGATCGCAGCCAAGGAATTGCCTGTGGAGCTGGAAGCACTAATTTCCTTCCTGATCCTGATTGATACCAGGCTCAGGGAGAGGCCTTCACTCAAGGAACGCCTGCGGAGGCCTTCCAATCGACTGGCACCTGCGTTTTCTGTCCCACCCATTCCTCCCTCTCCTCCCACGCCTCCTGGGGATAGATTGTCTGGTGGTGAGCCCATGCAGCTGGGGTTTGCTCGCCTTTCCGAGGGAGAGCGGGCCGCTCGGCGTCAGGAGGGTCGCTGCCTGTACTGTGGTCTTGGTGGGCACTTTCGGCAGTCCTGTCCGGTCCGTCCGGGAAACGCTCGCACCTGAGATCCTGTCGGGGACAGATCTTGGGTGGGTGGAGTCTCCTCGTCCCCGGCGTTCCGCAGAGATAAGCCACTGATCACCGTTGTCCTCTCTTGGGCGGAGGGCTCGGTGACGGCCCAGGCGTTGGTAGATTCTGGGGCCGGCGGGTTGTTTATGGACAGCTCGTTTGCTGCCCAGCACTCCATCCCCTGCAGGCTCGAGTTACCCCATTGGTTCTCGAGGCGATAGATGGCAGGCCCCTGCAACCACCGCAAGTTACCCACGAGACTATGCCAGTTGAAGTAGCTATTGGGGCTGTTCACAGGGAGTTGGCCTGTTTCCAGGTGATTTCTTCTCCGCACTATTCGGTGGTTTTGGGGTATCCCTGGCTCCAGATGCACAATCCAACCTTCATTGGCAAACTGCCGAGATTCTCTCGTGGTCTCCACAGTGTGGGGCCGGGTGCATCCGTGGGCCGGTTAAGGTGTTGTGTGCCTCCTCGGACTCTGCGTTGCCCACTGATTATGGGGAGTACCAGGACGTGTTTGATAAGACGCGCTGGTGCCTTACCTGCTCATCGTCCTTACGACTGCGCCATATCCTTGCAACCCGGTGCCACTCCTCCACGTGGCAGGGTGTATCCTCTCTCGGTTGCGGAGAATAAGGCCATGGAGGAGTACGTTGCGGATGCGCTTTCCCGGGGGCACATTCGTAAGTCTACTTCCCCAGCTGGAGCGGGCTTTTTCTTTGTAAAGAAGAAGGGTGGTGAATTGAGGCCCTGCATTGATTATAGGGGTCTCAATCGAATCACCACTAAGAATGCATACCCGATTCCCTTGATTACTGAGTTGTTCGACCGCCTTAAGGGGGCAACAGTCTTTACCAAACTTGACCTTAGGGCGGCGTACAACCTCGTACGGATCAAACAGGGGGATGAGTGGAAGACCGCGTTTAACACCAGAACCGGCCACTACGAATACCTGGTGATGCCCTTCGGGTTGTGTAACGCGCCCGCAGTTTTTCAGGAATTCATAAATGATGTCCTTCGTGACTTGTTGCAGCAGTGCGTGGTAGTTTACTTGGATGACATCCTGGTTTACTCTGCCTCCATGGAGTCCCATATCCAGGATGTCAAGCAGGTGCTGCAACGATTACGTGAGAACGAACTTTTTTGTAAACTTGAGAAGTGTGAATTCCATCGATCCCAAGTTGCCTTTTTAGGCTACATCATATCTGCGGAGGGATTCTCCATGGACCCTCAGAAGGTTTCGGCGGTTCTGCAGTGGCCTCGTCCCAATGGTCTTCGGCCCATTCAGCGTTTTTTGGGTTTTGCCAACTACTATCGGAAGTTCATCAGGAACTTCTCCACGCTGGCAAAGCCTCTCTCAGACCTAACCAAGAAGGGCAGTAATCCTCACGAGTGGTCATCCGAGGCCATCGTAGCTTTCGAGGCTCTGAAATCCGCCTTCGCTTCGGCTCCGATACTGTCTCATCCCAATCCTGGATTGCCCTTCGTCCTTGAGGTCGATGCATCCGAGACGGGAGTAGGCGCTCTCCTGTCTCAACGTCGTCGCCCGATGGACCCCTACTTCCCTGTGGGTTCTACTCCAGGAAGCTTTCCTCTGCAGAGTGCAACTACCAGATTGGAGATAGGGAGTTGTTGGCAATCATTCTGGCTCTCAAGGAATGGAGGCACCTGCTCGAGGGCTCCGCGGTTCCGGTCCTCATTCTTACCGATCATAAGAACCTGACTTATCTTTCGGAGGCCAAAAGATTGACACCCCGTCAGGCCAGATGGGCCTTGTTTTTGTCGCGGTTCAACTATGTGGTCTCCTATTTGCCTGGTTCCAAGAATGTCAGGGCTGATGCATTATCGCGGCAATACTCTGAGTTGTCCAGGGAGGACTCTGAGCCAACCTCGGTCATACCTCCAGATCAGATCCTGGCTGCCATTCGCACCAGTCTGACTTCTCCCCTTGGGGAGCAGATTTTGGCGGCTCAAACTGACGCTCCTCCCGAGAGACCGGAGGGTAGATGTTTTGTACCCGAGGGGTTGCGCACCCGTCTGCTGCGTACTTACCATAACTCCAAAACTGCCGGGCATCCGGGGAGGAACCAGTTGTCTTGGGTCGTCTCTCGGTTGTTCTGGTGGCCAACTCTCCGTGCCGACATCGCCTCTTATGTAGCGGCATGTTCGATCTGTGCCCAGAATAAATCTCCACGGCATCTTCCAATGGGTCTTCTGCAACCCATTCCCAATGGGGAGCGTCCTTGGTCACACCTGGGCATGGACTTTATTGTAGACCTCCCTGTGTCTCGGGGTCATACGGTCATTCTCATGGTCGTCGATCGTTTTTCCAAAATGTGCCATTGTATTCCACTCAGGAAATTACCAACAGCGCAAGAACTGGCCACGGTCTTTTCCAGGGAGATTTTTCGCCTGCATGGGTTGCCCAAGGTGATTGTCTCGGACCGCGGGAGTCAGTTCGTGTCCAGATTCTGGCGCGCCTTCTGCTCCCAGTTGGGTATTAGTCTCTCCTTTTCTTCAGCCTACCACCCGCAGTCCAATGGGGCTGGGGCTGCGGAGCGTTCCAATCAGGCCTTAGAACAATTCCTTCGGTGTTATATCTCGGACCATCAGGACGATTGGGCCGATCTCCTGCCTTGGGCAGAGTTTGCCAGGAACTCAGCGGTCAACTCCTCCTCCGGGATGTCTCCCTTCATGGCCAACTATGGGTACCAAACCGCGGTATTACCTGAGAGGTTCTCACCACAGGACATTCCGGCTGTGGAGAACCATCTTGCTGCCCTGCGTTCTTCATGGGGGCAGATCCAGAGGGCTTTGAGGGACTCGGCTCAGCGTCAGAAGTTCCAGGCTGATCGCAGACGGTTGCCCGCTCCTTCATACCAGGTCGGCGATCGGGTGTGGTTGTCTACTCGTAACCTCAATCTTCGGGTGCCCACACCCAAACTAGCTCCCCGTTTTGTCGGTCCTTTTCGCATTCTCCGCAAGGTGAATCCGGTGGCCTATGCCCTTGCCCTTCCACCTGGGATGCGGATCTCCAATATCTTTCATGTATCACTGTTGAAACCTCTGATCTGCAATCGCTTCACTACCTCTCTGCCTCGGCCCCGTCCCATTCGGGTTGACGGTCATGAGGAGTATGAGGTGAGCCGGATCCTGGACTCTCGATTTGGTGCGCGGTCGATTACAGTTCCTGGTTCATTGGCGCGGTTATGGTCCCGAGGAGCGTTCCTGGGTTCCTTCCGCGGATGTCCATGCTCCTGCCCTCCTCCGCGCTTTTCATACCCGCTTTCCTCAGAAACCTTTTGTTGAGCCGCGGAGGGGGAGGGGCCCTTGAGGAGGAGGTACTGTCAAGGTCCTACCTTTTCCCAGAGGTTATGTTACTCCATGTGCTGGCATCCATCTTGGATTTATGCTGAGCATGGTGGGAAGCTTTTATGCCTTCAGGTCTCTGAGGTCCATCCCCCAGAGGGGTGTGG